CTCTGCTCTGCTCTGCTCTGCGCGCAGATCTCCTCTGGTCGGCTCCGCTGTTTTTTTCCTGATTCGGGAGCCTCGTGTGTTGGCGGGAGATGGGCAACTGCTGTGCGACGCCGCCGGCGGTGGACGGTGGCGGCGGCGGCGGCGGGAAGCAGCAGAAGGAGCCCAAGCAGAGGAAGGGCAAGAAGCCCAACCCCTTCTCGATCGAGTACAACCGGTCGGCGCCGCCGGGGGCCTCCAGGCTGGTGGTGCTGCGGGAGCCCACGGGGACGGGCCGGGACATCGCCGAGCGGTACGAGCTCGGCGGGGAGCTCGGCCGCGGGGAGTTCGGGGTCACCTACCTCTGCACCGACCGCGCCACCAGGGAGGCCCTCGCCTGCAAGTCCATCTCCAAGAAGAAGCTCCGCACCGCGGTGGACGTCGAGGACGTGCGCCGCGAGGTGGAGATCATGCGCCACCTCCCCAAGCACCCCAACATCGTCACCCTCAGGGACACGTACGAGGACGACAATGCCGTGCACCTCGTCATGGAGCTCTGCGAGGGCGGGGAGCTCTTCGACCGGATCGTCGCCCGGGGACACTACACGGAGCGCGCCGCCGCTGTGGTCACCAAGACCATCGTCGAGGTCGTGCAGGTGAGAATAAATACCCCCTTGATTCCTTCCTTTGCCTTTTGGCTAAGCTTGTCCTCACACTCACGGGATGCGTTCATTCTGTGATGTGATCCACCGTGGAAATATTTGTTGGCTACCTGTCACATGATTCTGGTGTCTATATGTTCCAATGAATAGGTTATGATCTATCCTGTGAAGCAATTAATTTCTGCATTTGCTGTCATTCGGGCTATTAGCTTATCAAGGACCACATCTTTAGCTTGGTAGTAGTAGTTACTAGATTGCCGCAACTTCCCTTTTTTTCTGTTTAGTGAATAACGTGTGCATTTGTTCACAATATCAGATGTGCCACAAGCATGGAGTGATGCACCGGGACCTCAAACCAGAGAATTTCTTGTTTGCAAACAAGAAAGAAACCGCGGCGCTGAAAGCAATTGATTTTGGCCTGTCTGTTTTTTTCACTCCAGGTACAGTCATGATATCCTATATCAGCTATCACTGAAGTTTTCCATTTTACGATGATATTGTCAGAGGACAAAGCTGATATAGTAGCCTGTCTTATGCTGTCTATTTTTACTTTGCATTGTTTGCCTAATGTGCTAATTGTTCATGATGTGTAGGTGAGCGGTTCACTGAGATTGTTGGAAGTCCTTATTACATGGCTCCAGAGGTGTTAAAGAGAAATTATGGCCAAGAGGTTGATGTTTGGAGTGCAGGAGTGATTCTTTACATCCTTCTTTGTGGTGTCCCTCCATTCTGGGCAGGTCAGTTTTGTACCTGAAAATGGTCAATTGTTTTGGTGGCATCAGTCAACTACATTAAACATTTAGGATACTAAAAGTGGACTGTTTTCTTATGTCCTGACTGCACAAAGGGGCCATGTGTCACCTTCTACACTGAAGTTTTGTTTTCCTTATTTTGCCTCTGGTGTGATTGGCCTGTGGACTGTGGTTGAGAAAAATATATTTATCTTGTCCTATTGAATGCTCTTTCTAAGTAATATGTTTGTTGCTTCCATTTATAATGCAGAAACTGAACAAGGTGTTGCTCAAGCAATTATCCGGTCTGTCATTGACTTTAAAAGAGATCCATGGCCTAGGGTCTCAGATAATGCAAAAGACCTTGTCAGGGGAATGCTTAACCCAGATCCAAGGAGGCGTTTGACAGCTCAGCAAGTGCTTGGTAATAATCAAATTTCCACAAGTTAACTGTACTGTATTGCATTCCTCTGTTCTTCTTAAACGGATACAGAATTACATGCCTTGTGTAAATTTCAGATGATCTCCGCCCTAAGATCATTTAATTGCATTGCTTGTGTCTCATGTCCATTATTTGTATTTTCTTCCAGATCATCCCTGGTTGCAGAATATTAAGAAGGCTCCAAATGTCAATTTGGGTGAGACAGTTAAGGCCAGACTTCAACAGTTCTCTGTGATGAACAAGTTCAAGAAGCATGCACTTAGGGTATACCTCAGTCTGACTTGAAGCAATCCTCTTTCACGCTAGACTTGCTTTCTTGGAATTTCCTTACATATTTGTATTTATTACAGGTCATAGCTGAGCATCTTTCGGTAGAAGAGGTGGCCGGCATAAAGGATATGTTTGAAAAGATGGACCTTAACAAAGATAGTATGATTAATTTTGATGAACTGAAGCTTGGTCTGAATAAACTTGGCCACCAAATGCCTGATGCAGATGTCCAAATACTAATGGATGCTGTGAGTACTCATTATTTTTCTTTATTCTGAGAAATTTTTGCAACTCTTTGTTATTAGACTGGAACGTTTTGTTTCTATGTAGAATCACCATCTCCACACTTTTATCAACTGAGTTTCATAAGTATCATATCAGAATTCAAAGATCATACCTGGTAAACTGGATGAAATGGAATTGTTAGCACACTAGTGATAGAGATTGTAGAAACACCCCTCTAAAATTTCAAGTGAGGAACTTGTAAGGCAGTATAGCAAATGTTCTTTTAAGTTTTTCTTTCCTGAACTTGAAATGATCATTTGGCATTAGATGGATACACTTTCTACATATTACTATGTGTTGAAGGCGAGGGGTGTTTTTATTATATATTTACCATATGTGAATGTTATACCAGGCTGACGCTGATGGAAATGGGTGCTTAGACTATGGAGAATTTGTTACTCTGTCTGTTCACCTGAAAAAGATCGGCAATGACGAACATCTGCATAAGGCATTTGGATACTTTGATCGGAACAAGAGTGGATATATTGAAATTGATGAACTCCGGGAGTCATTAGCTGATGATCTGGGACCAAATCATGAAGAGGTTATCAATGCCATCATCCGTGATGTAGACACTGATAAGGTATGTGGTTAACTCACCAACTGGTTGGCAAAGCATGCTAGTTTTGTTTCTCGTCCTTTGACCGCTATCATTTGACTCTGACTGAAATGATGAACATTGTGATTCATAAATTGTAGGATGGCAAGATAAGCTTTGATGAGTTTGTGGCAATGATGAAGGCCGGAACTGACTGGAGGAAAGCCTCGAGACAATATTCGAGAGAACGGTTCACTAGCCTCAGCTTGAAGCTGCAGAAGGACGGATCGTTGCAGATAACAAGTACCCAATAGTAGATGATAACGCAATAGGCAAGTTGTGAATTCCAGATGAAAATCAACCTTGTGTAGCTTCCTGGTTTTGTTGACAAGTATTTCTTTTGTTCATCTGGGTATTCTGTTGCGCTCTAATTTTCGCTTGGTATCCTGATGAAGCATTAGTTGATTGTTGAAGATTTATTTTGTATGTAGATTGTGTGATCCAGACCATCACAAAAAGTACTACGCCTTTGATGAAAGGTAGTGTACAAGAGAAAGAGGAAAAAGTTTGTGGATGTATGCATTTCCTCTCTTCTGTTGACCATAATGTTTTGTTCATCTGTTTGGTTGGTAGTATATTCTGAAGCTGAAAGGGTGAAAGTAAAATTGACAGCTTAATTCCTAGTAAAATCACATACTCCCTCCGTTCCAAAATAAGTGTCGTGGCATGACAATTTTGAACTAAAACCATGGCACTTACTCCCTCCATAAGGAAATATAAGAGCATTTAGATCATCGAAACGCTCTTATATTTCTTTACAGAGGAAGTATTTTGTAACATGCGACATATGCAAAATGTGTGTGTATAAACTGGAAGGGTCTATATATATTACTCTCTGCAAGTATTGGGAGGGTGTATTATTCTGCAATCACCAAAGCTTGACAACATAATCTATAACTATGTTATGATAGCTGAGCACGCTGAGTTTACTTTTTGGAGTGCTCAGAGCCTGTTCCGGTCTGTTAGCCAGAAACGGTCCGTGCATATGATGAACGGAACTGGTAGATTTGAACACCTAAAGTTGGACTTGATAGCCGGTCAAGAATCTATGGCATTTCGGCAGGCACGGAGCAAAGGATGACTCATTAAACATTGCCAGAAAAATGGTTGGATCTGGTCGGCACAAGTTGCAGTCTTGTTGGTTGGCACGGGTATTTCATACTGTCTGCGGCCGGAAGGGAGTTGCCGTCCTCTATCAGACACCTCAACAGCAGCCAGCAGAGGCAGATTAGGTCCGGGGGCATTGGATGTTTGGACCAGTTCGAGTTGCCTTTGACCTGCGTGTTCTCGGCTGATGTCGCACGGGGCCTTTCGTTCGCCTTCTGGTCTCTCTCTGTCGTGATCTTCTTATCTGGTCAGCAGCTTCTGCTGCTGCGGTTATGTATGAACGCGTCGTGGACCCGGCGACACTTGTGTCAACAAATGCTAGGTACGGTAGTGCTGAAAGGTGGTCTGAAGTTGATCAGTCGACGACGATGACGTCGGTGATGCAGCCAATGGGAGTAAGTTCGTTGGTCTTGCGATTTCAAGCTGAAGCACTGTTGGTTCTTGTCTTCTTGATGACGAGATGTCACCTTTCAAGCCAAGTTGCGCTAGAAATCACCCGGGATTGAGGGAACTCGTATTTTCTAGCGACAGCTTGCCTCAAACGCTGTAGCGGATGCACCTGAGATGCTATTGATACCTATACCCCTCAGCAACCAGCCAACCAGAATATGCACTTGAGATGCTATTGATACTTTATGTTGAAAAACCGCTCAAGATTTTATACACGCAAGCATGCATGTACGCTCATCTTACCCTCATGAGTATATCCGAGAGACTGAGCCGGCACGTCACCAATGCCATGTCTAGGACTTGAACCAGGGGCGAAAACCGGCCTATGAAAAGTAATGATGTCCCTTGTAATTTCTTTTTAGGAAGTACCCAAAAAATCATCAAAGTGCATCATTTAAGGTACATAGCCTTAGGCATAATCCGATGTTAGCTCCGCCTCTGACTTGAACCCAAATGGGTTGGTTCCACCATATGGAACCTAACCATCCGTCCAGTTCGCAAAATAAACTAACTTTTTCCTCAACAAATCACGTTGACAAAGTGGGGATCTCTAACAAGCATTATCTTTTATTTTTGCCAAAGGGTCCCGAGGCCACACATTAAGTAGCGCAAACACTTACAAAAATACTTTTACATGAATTAAAAAATGCATCTAAATTGCTAGGGATCGCGAAGTCTTCTTCTTCCTACATCAATCGACGACGCACCATGTTGCCATTTCTGAGCCTCCGTCTCAGTGGAGCAAACTTGTTGAAACCTAGGAGTTTGTAGAAGCAACGTCAATTTTTTTTTGTGCTTTGTATATTCCTTCCTTTCTTTGTTTGTCATTGTAATAAACTTTCGATCTGTACCATTCTTTGTTATAGGTTGTTAAGCATCAAACAGAGCATATTTGTAGCTCAACAAGTGGAAAAGTGACTAGTATGACAAGTCAAACTTGGGTGGCCAAGAAGGCAGCATCTATGCTTAAGAAAGATCCAACCATTTGTGTTGTGAAGATACTTAAAGAGTTACAGGATGAGCATCATGCCACATTTGATTATCACACAGTGTGGAAAGGCAAACAGGAGGCGACGACCAGCTTGTATGGGAGTTGGGAAGAAATTTCAGGATGTTGTACAACTACAAGGCCGAGATAGAATTGAGGTCTCCAGGTAGTATTGTAGAGATTGGTACAATCACAGTTGAAGGTGAAGTACATTTTAGCAATCTATTTATTGCTTTCAAGCCTTGCATAGATGGGTTTCTGAATGGATGTAGGCCATTTATTATATATTCAACTCATCTAAATGGCAAATGAAATGGTCAGCTAGCTGTAGTCACTACTTTGGGTGGTCACAATTGGATGTTTCGATGGCGTATGACTTTATTGAGTATGAAAATGGAGATAATTGGGCTTCATGAATCAATTGAAGAAGCCAATAGGGGAGCCTCCAGTATTTGTTGTTTGTACCAATGCTTGCAAGGGTTTTGAAAATGTTGTTAAAAGGGTTTTCCCTCAAGATGAGCAACGTGAGTGCTTTAGGCATATGTGGCATAATTTTTAGAAATATTTTCATGGTGATGTGTTTGGACGGTTGTGGCTTGTTGCTAGGGCACATAGGGCGGAAGAATATCAGCATCACATGGCAAAGATGTTTGATGCATCTGAGAAAGTATATCCTTACCTTAGGGACTACCATAATCTGTTATGGATGAGGTGCATGTTCGACCCTGACATCAAGTGTGACTACATATATAAGAATCTTGTCGAGTGCTTTAATGCTTGGGCACGAGATATCAAGGACTTGCCGATTGTTCAGCTAGCTGATAAGATTAGAGAGATGATTATGGACCTATTTAGACAGAGGATAATGATTGGAAAGAAATTTCTAGGGACAACACTCCCATTTTTCATACAACTATTAAATGCAATGACTCGGGGAGTAGGACATCTCAAGACTAAAGCATCAGGTGATTGGAGTGGAGATGAGAAATGTTAACTAAAGGGACGAAAGACATGTCATTAAAACACTCAAACATGAGTGTACATGTCCGCAATGGCAGCACACGGGCAAGCCTTGTGACCATGCACTAGCCTTCATAAATGTTTTGCAAGCTCGAAACTTTGTTAACATGGAGGATTATGTACATGAGTACTATTTAGTGAGCAAATTGAGGGTAGCATATGAAGCTGTAATTGAGCCCCTTACAGACAAGAATTAGTGGCCACATGTGGATACAGGCTTTGTGTTGTGTTTACCAATTCCAAAAGGCAAGGAAAATATGCTGGAAGAACAAGAAAACAGAGGACAAAGAGTTGGTGGAAAGGTGGATCAAGGAAGGGATCCTTGAACAAATGCAAAAATGCGAGGAGGTAGGACATAGAGAAACTGTCTGTCCTCGAAATGGAACAAAGAGAAGGTACAAACTAATACATGTTGTTGTTTTCTAGGTATAATACCATGTTTCTTTTACATGAGAATAGTTCTAGTTGCTCCCTTTTATAGGAAAAGTAGGGGGAAGAATACATCTCCATAGTTTGATGTTTCAATTAGCAATGCAGTTCCATCTACACCAACCAAGAGCAAGAATGTTGCCACTTGTAGTAGTCCTCCAACTATCACAAGAAGCCTGATGACCCACAAGTATAGGGGATCAATCATAATCCTTTCGATACGTAAGAGTGTCGAGCCCAACGAGGAGTAGAAGGAAATGACAAGCGGTTTTTTAGCAAGGTACTCTCTGAAGTGTTGTAAGCAGTAATGGCAGATAGTTTTGGAACAAGGTAATTTGTAACAAGTAGGAAGTAATAATAGTAAGAAAGGTGCAGCAAGGTAGCTCAATCCTTTTTGTAGCAAAGGACAAGCCGAAAGTACTTCTTATAATGAGCAAAGCGTTCTTGAGGACACACGGGGTTCACGTCTAGTCATGTTCATCATGTTTAGCTGATTCACGTTCACTACCTTGATAATTTGAGTGTCGCGAAGTCGCCGACACTGCAGTTTGGTTAACTTCAACAACCAGCCGGGACGAACCATCGGCCGTGTTAATGACACAACTCATATGAGATCATTTATAAATTGCCACGGTCGACCTCAACCTTCCCTGGATTCGCATCGCGTTATCAACGCCAAGGATATACAATGAGTGTCGTGAAGATTATCAACTCGCCACCTCGCCTCAAGCTTCAATAAATTTCAGCTTCCAGATGTCAACTATATGATGGCTTATGCCACAATCAAGTATGAAGAATCTCACACTAGTGCAGGATGCTGCTAACGCGACACTACAATCAGAGACCCTTTGACGAAACTATGTGCAATGCATTAATCACAAACGGTGGTGTAAAAAACCGTAAAAAAGGTGCAAAATATTTGCGATGACGGATGCATCAAATATGGTTCAGATTTTAGTTCCGTGTGTGATGTAGGGCATACAGTTCAGTGCAATTAACTGTTTGCAATGAGGAGCAACAAAAGAAATGGGCATCCATATGAAGGTGTGTGCGATAAACAGCATAATGTTCACTAGGATGAACTATTTGTGATTAGGAAACACAAAAAAATGGTCAGCCAGATCAAGGTGTGTGCGATATACAACATGCGGTTCACTCGGATGAACTGTTTGTGTTGAGACAAGAGAACATAAATAGTTCAATATAATAAGATGTGTGTGATATGCGACAAACAGGTCTATAATCAGAAATGTGTACGAAGACCGATAATAACACAGACGATTGCTGCTAATAAGACATGTGTGTTGTGCGATGGGATTGCATACAGAACAACAACATATATATATACACACTTATAAGGACATGGTTGCATAACCAAACTAAACATCCACTTACATAGGTGGCTACTACAACCATGGCATTTGCACACACCAAAGTAAACTATTACATGCATAATTACATAGGTGGCTACTACACACATGCCATTTCCCACACCAAAGTAAACTATATATTACATGCATGGTTAACTAGCATAAACGATCATCTGATCATCATCTACTACTTGTGATGCTTGCTCTGCTTGTGGCTCGACCCGAGCTCGTCGATTTGGGTAACGAGGCACTT